ACTTTTTGTCAGAATTGTTTTTACATTTTGTTAAACTGTCAACACTTTTCGCAAAGGTTGCCGAGATTGTAGTAATGGATGGATAAATGAGGGCTAGCTGGCAACTGTTTTTTATAGTCGTCAGTTGCTGCCAGTGTTCCATTGGGAACAGTGAAGAAAAAAATGGCATGACCTGCCGTCGGCCACCTAAACACTTAACACAAAATTAGCACAATTTAAACATTATTTATTCGAACACACGTCAAATTCTATTCCACAAAGTAAAAAAAATATGATGGAGGGTTTATGCACTTCGATAGAAATTTAAAACCTCGATCGCAACTTATGAAAAATTAACCGCCAAGAACTGATCTGCCTCACTTTTAGTTCTTTATAATGTGGCAACTTCTCCCTAGCCCACAAAACGCCACCTTGTGGAAAATGTGATCATATTAAATGTGGTCACCTTAAATTGTGGTCTCGCTAACCCTGCCAACCTGTTTCTTTTGTACGGCAATGTGGCCCTTTAATTTTACTATCGATATGTACCCAAATACAACAATGAACGCAACTGACAGAGAGTTTCGTGTGGCACATACCATATCGGAAATTGCAGAGGTGGAACGTTCAGTCATATTCCAAATTTGCTGTGATTAAAGTAATGGATAAATAAAGTAGGATAATAGGTGACTATTTTACGTTGTCATCAGTCTCAATGCTCACCTCAATCTCAATTCAACTCCGGGGTGACACCCTGTTTTAAGAGCATGATATTAAAGTTTACTTGTAGAATGTGAATTGCTGATTTTTATTCAACACTTATTGCTTGAACAGTACAAAACCAATACGGAAGCGTGGAAAATAAATGTTGATATGAGATCCAGCAAATTACCCATATAGTGTTCGAAAGCTTACGTATATTAGTTATACTTTTAATTCTTTAAGACTTTTATAAAATGAGTAACAAAATGTTTTATAACACAAAGCAAAGTAATTTTGTATTGTAACTTTTTGTCGATATGTGTACATAGAAATGTAATAATCTTACTCACTAAACTTTTCAGCTATTTTCAATATTATCAAACTAAAATGTAAAATTATTTTAAAATTCTTGTCTGCTTGCTAGCGTCTGGCTTAAAGTTATAGTTTTATTAAAAAATTTAATAGAAAAGTGATATGGAAATTCTTGTAACCTTTGACAAAACTTTCTAAAATCTCTGAATTCTTCAGCGTGTCTCGAAATGTCTTATTTATAACAAAAGTTTAGTATAAAATGTAAGTAGTATAATTAAATCCACTTTTGTATATAATGTGTGCAAATGTGTTAATATTGAATTGAACGTTCCTTTAAAGTTAGTTAGGGGCGATTTTATAGCATTCATTCAAATGTAAGTGCTTAAAATTGACTTTCTTCATGGGGTGTTGTTTAAGCCTTCCTAGTTTCTTGTTTTTGCCGCAGTGGTGGGACCTGGTCAATTAGAATTTAGGTGTAGGTCATTTTACTGGTGACGCTGCTGATTATTTTTGTGTTGGCGTGGCTATTCTTGTCGTTGTTTTTGTCATTTTGATGCATTCTCTTCTTGTTTTTGTCTATGAAAACGGAAATTTTGGTTTGGTTGTACTTGGCGCTGTTGAGCTTCCCATTGGCGGCTTTTACATTTGAGTATCTGGTTTGTTGTATTTGCTGCTGCTCATGATTCTGTTGTTGATGGTTTATGATTTAAGCTGTTACTGCTGCTGCTGCCGCTGTTCTTGCTGCTGCTGATGTTGTTTCTGCTGTTGCTGCTGCTGTTTGTTTCTTTTTGACTGGCGTACTGTGGTATTGATATTTACTATTTGATTCAAGCTGCTGCAACCTTTGTAATTTGAAACATGATGAATTGATATATTATATGACCTCGATATTGTGCTGGTAACCGGGGATTTAAGTAGCAATATCCTCTTATGGTTAATGGATCCTGTGTGAGCTCGAACTTACCAGAAGTCACGCCTCAGTCCCAGATGTCCAAGTAAATACGCAAAGTCAAGTCCGTGTACGAAGTCCAGTCAGTCCGAGTTATATAGTCAAGTTTGTTTAAAGAAGTCCAGTTAGTCCATTCAGTCCAGTAGCCCCATGATGTCAAAGAAGTTCGGGCATGTTATTTAAATACAAAAAAAAAAAAAAACACCAGACACACAATTCTGTACTTGTGTCAGAATTGTTTTTACATATTGTTAAACTGTCAACACTTTTCGCAATGGTTTCCGAGATTGTAGTAATGAATGGATAAATGAGGGCTAGCTGGCAACTGTTTTTTATAGTCGTCAGTTGCTGCCAGTCTTCCATTGGGAACAGTGCAGAAAAAAAATGGCATGACCTGCCGTCGGCCACCTAAACACTTAACACAAAATTAGCACAATTTAAACATTATTTATACGAACACACGTCAAGTTCTATTCCACAAAGTAAAAAAAATATGATGGAGGGCTTATGCACTTCCATAGAAAATTAAAACCTCGATCGCAACATATGAAATATTAAGCGCCAGGAACTGATCTGCCTCACTTTTAGTTCTTTATAATGTGGCAACTTCTCCCTAGACCACAAAACGCCACCTTGTGGAAAATGTGGTCACATTAAATGTGGTCACCTTAAATTGTGGTCTCGCTAACCCTGCAAACCTGTTTCTTTTGTACGGCAATGTGGCCCTTTAATTTTACTATCGATATGTACCCAAATACAACAATGAACGCAACTGACAGAGAGTTTCGTGTGGCACATAGTACAAAACCAATACGGAAGCGTGGAAAATAAATGTTGATATGAGAACCGGCAAATTACCCATATAGTGTTCGAAAGCTTACGTATATTAGTTATACTTTTAATTCTTTAATAGTTTTATAAAATGCGTAACAAAATGTTTTATAGCACAAAGCAAAGTTATTTTGTATTGTAATTTTTTGTCGATATGTGTAATTCTTGTAATTCTTGTCTGCTTGCTAGCGTCTGGCTTAAAGTTATAGTTTTATTAAAAAATTTAATAGAAATGTGATATGGAAATTCTTGTAACCTTTGACAAAACTTTCTAAAATCTCTGAATTCTTCAGCGTGTCTCGAAATGTCTTATTTATAACAAAAGTTTATTATAAAATGTAAGTAGTATAATTAAATACACTTTTGTATATAATGTGTGCAAATGTGTTAATATTGAATTGAATGTTCCTTTAAAGTTAGTTAGGGGCGATTTTATAGCATTCATTCAAACGTAAGTGCTTAAAATTGACTTTCTTCATGGGGTGTTGTTTAAGCCTTCCTAGTTTCTTGTTTCTGCCGCAGTGGTGGGACCTGGTCAATTAGAATTTAGGTGCAGGTCATTTTACTGGTGACGCTGCTGATTATTTTTGTGTTGGCGTGGCTATTCTTGTCGTTGTTTTTGTCATTTTGATGCGTTCTCCTCTTGTTTTTGTCTATGAAAACGGAAATTTTGGTTTGGTTGTACTTGGCGCTGTTGAGCTTCCCATTGGCGGCTTTTATATTTGAGTATCTGGTTTGTTGTATTTGCTGCTGCTCATGATTCTGTTGTTGATGGTTTATGATTGAAGCTGTTACTGCTGCTGCTGCCGCTGTTCTTGCTGCTGCTGATGTTGTTTCTGCTGTTGCTGCTGCTGTGTGTTTCTTTTTGACTGGCGTACTGTGGTATTGATATTTACTATTTGATTCAAGCTGCTGCAACCTTTGTAATTTGAAACATGATGAATTGATATATTATATGACCTCGATATTGTGCTGGTTACCCGGGGATTTAAGTAGCAATATCCTCTTATTGGTTAATGGATCCTGTGTGAGCTCGAACTTACCAGAAGTCACGCCTCAGTCCCAGATGTCCAAGTAAATACGCAAAGTCAAGTCCGTGTACGAAGTCCAGTCAGTCCGAGTTATATAGTCAAGTTTGTTTAAGAAGTCCAGGAAGTCCAGTCAGTCCATTCAGTCCAGTAGCCCCATGATGTCAAAGAAGTTCGGCCATGTTATTTAAATACAAAAAAAAAAACACCAGACACACAATTCTGTACTTGTGTCAGAATTGTTTTTACATATTGTTAAACTGTCAACACTTTTCGCAATGGTTGCCGAGATTGTAGAAATGAATGGATAAATGAGGGCTAGCTGGCAACTGTTTTTTATAGTCGTCAGTTGCTGCCAGTGTTCCATTGGGATCAGTGAAGAAAAAAATGGCATGACCTGCCGTCGGCCACCTAAACACTTAACACAAAATCAGCACAATTTAAACATTATTTATACGAACACACGTCAAGTTCTATTCCACAAAGTAAAAAAAAATATGATGGGGGGCTTATGCACTTCCATAGAAATTTAAAACCTCGATCGCAACATATGAAAAATTAACCGCCAGGAACTGATCTGCCTCACTTTTAGTTCTTTATAATGTGGCAACTTCTCCCTAGCCCACAAAACGCCACCTTGTGGAAAATGTGGTCACATTAAATGTGGTCACCTTAAATTGTGGTCTCGCTAACCTTGCCAACCTGTTTCTTTTGGACAGCAATGTGGCCCTTTAATTTTACTATCGATATGTACCCAAATACAACAATGAACGCAACTGACAGAGAGTTTCGTGTGGCACATACCATATCGGAAATTGCAGAGGTGGAACGTTCAGCCATATTCCAAATTTGCTGTGATTAAAGTAATGGATAAATAAAGTAGAATAATAGGCGACTATTTTACGTTGTCATCAGTTTCAATGCTCACCTCAATCTCAATTCAACTGCGGGGTGACACCCTGTGTTATGAGAATGATATTAAAGTTTACTTGTAGAATGTGAATTGCTGATTTTTATTCAACATTTATTGCTTGAACAGTACAAAACCACTACGGAAGCGTGGAAAATAAATGTTGATATGAGAACCGGCAAATTACCCATATAGTGTTCGAAAGCCTACGTATATTAGTTATACTCTTAATTCTTTAATACTTTTATAAAATGCGTAACAAAATGTTTTATAACACAAAGCAAAGTTATTTTGTATTGTAATTTTTTGTCGATATGTGCAATTCTTGTAATTCTTGTCTGCTTGCTAGCGTCTGGCTTAAAGTTATAGTTTTATTAAAAAATTTAATAGAAATGTGATATGGAAATTCTTGTAACCTTTGACAAAACTTTCTAAAATCTCTGAATTCTTCAGCGTGTCTCGAAATGTCTTATTTATAACAAAAGTTTATTATAAAATGTAAGTAGTATAATTAAATACACTTTTGTATATAATGTGTGCAAATGTGTTAATATTGAATTGAATGTTCCTTTAAAGTTAGTTAGGGGCGATTTTATAGCATTCATTCAAACGTAAGTGCTTAAAATTGACTTTCTTCATGGGGTGTTGTTTAAGCCTTCCTAGTTTCTTGTTTCTGCCGCAGTGGTGGGACCTGGTCAATTAGAATTTAGGTGCAGGTCATTTTACTGGTGACGCTGCTGATTATTTTTGTGTTGGCGTGGCTATTCTTGTCGTTGTTTTTGTCATTTTGATGCATTCTCCTCTTGTTATTGTCTATGAAAACGGAAATTTTGGTTTGGTTGTACTTGGCGCTGTTGAGCTTCCCATTGGCGGCTTTTATATTTGAGTATCTGGTTTGCTGTATTTGCTGCTGCTCATGATTCTGTTGTTGATGGTTTATGATTTAAGCTGTTACTGCTGCTGCTGCCGCTGTTCTTGCTGCTGCTGATGTTGTTTCTGCTGTTGCTGCTGCTGTTTGTTTCTTTTTGACTGGCGTACTGTGGTATTGATATTTACTATTTGATTCAAGCTGCTGCAACCTTTGTAATTTGAAACATGATGAATTGATATATTATATGACCTCGATATTGTGCTGGTTACCCGGGGATTTAAGTAGCAATATCCTCTTATTGGTTAATGGATCCTGTGTGAGCTCGAACTTACCAGAAGTCATGCCTCAGTCCCAGATGTCCAAGTAAATACGCAAAGTCAAGTCCGTGTACGAAGTCCAGTCAGTCCGAGTTATATAGTCAAGTTTGTTTAAGAAGTCCAGGAAGTCCAGTTAGTCCATTCAGTCCAGTAGCTCCATGATGTCAAAGAAGTTCGGGCATGTTATTTAAATACAAAAAAAAAAAAACACCAGACACACAATTCTGTACTTTTGTCAGAATTGTTTTTACATGTTGTTAAACTGTCAACACTTTTCGCAATGGTTGCCGAGATTGTAGTAATGAATGGATAAATGAGGGCTAGCTGGCAACTGTTTTTTATAGTCGTCAGTTGCTGCCAGTGTTCCATTGGGAACAGTGAAGAAAAAAATGGCATGACCTGCCGTCGGCCACCTAAACACTTAACACAAAATCAGCACAATTTAAACATTATTTATACGAACACACGTCAAGTTCTATTCCACAAAGTAAAAAAAATATGATGGGGGGCTTATGCACTTCCATAGAAATTTAAAACCTCGATCGCAACATATGAAAAATTAACCGCCAGGAACTGATCTGCCTCACTTTTAGTTCTTTATAATGTGGCAACTTCTGCCTAGCCCACAAAACGCCACCTTGTGGAAAATGTGGTCACATTAAATGTGGTCACCTTAAATTGTGGTCTCGCTAACCCTGGCAACCTGTTTCTTTTGTACGGCAATGTGGCCCTTTAATTTTACTATCGATATGTACCCAAATACAACAATGAACGCAACTGACAGAGAGTTTCATGTGGCACATACCATATCGGAAATTGCAGAGGTGGAACGTTCAGCCATATTCCAAATTTGCTGTGATTAAAGTAATGGATAAATAAAGTAGGATAATAGGTGACTATTTTACGTTGTCATCAGTCTCAATGCTCATCTCAATCTCAATTAGCTCCGGGGTGACACCCTGTTTTAAGAGCATGATATTAAAGTTTACTTGTAGAATGTGAATTGCTGATTTTTATTCAACACTTATTGCTTGAACAGTACAAAACCAATACGGAAGCGTGGAAAATAAATGTTGATATGAGAACCGGCAAATTACCTATATAGTGTTCGAAAGCTTACGTATATTAGTTATACTTTTAATTCATTAATACTTTTATAAAATGCGTAACAAAAGTTTTTATAACACAAAGCAAAGTTATTTTGTATTGTAACTTTTTGTCGAAATGTTTACATGGAAATGTAACAATCTTACTCACTAAACTTTTCAGCTATTTTCAATATTATCAAACTAAAATGTAAAAATATTTTAAAATTCTTGTCTGCTTGCTAGCGTCTGGCTTAAAGTTATAGTTTTATTAAAAAATTTAATAGAAATGTGATATGGAAATTCTTGTAACCATTGACAAAACTTTCTAAAATCTCTGAATTCTTCAGCGTGTCTCGAAATGTCTTATTTATAACAAAAGTTTATTATAAAATGTAAGTAGTATAATTAAATACACTTTTGTATATAATGTGTGCAAATGTGTTAATATTGAATTGAACGTTCCTTTAAATTTAGTTAGGGGCGATTTTACAACATTCATTCAAATGTAAGTGCTTAAAATTGACTTTCTTCATGGGGTGTTGTTTAAGCCTTCCTAGTTCCTTGTTTTTGCAGCAGTGGTGGGACCTGGTCAATTAGAATTTAGGTGTAGGTCATTTTACTGGTGACGCTGCTGATTATTTTTGTGTTGGCGTGGCTATTCTTGTCGTTGTTTTTGTCATTTTGATGCATTCTCTTCTTGTTTTTGTCTATGAAAACGGAAATTTTGGTTTGGTTGTACTTGGCGGTGTTGAGCTTCCCATTGGCGGCTTTTATATTTGAGTATCTGGTTTGTTGTATTTGCTGCTGCTAAAGATTCTGTTGTTGATGGTTTATGATTTAAGCTGTTACTGCTGCTGCTGCCGCTGTTCTTGCTGCTGCTGATGTTGTTTCTGCTGTTGCTGCTGCTGTTTGTTTCTTTTTGACTGGCGTACTGTGGTATTGATATTTACTATTTGATTCAAGCTGCTGCAACCTTTGTAATTTGAAACATGATGAATTGATATATTTTGCGCATGCATGGGGTACATGGGGTGTGCTTGCCCACATTTGAGACAGAGGAACGGGCGACGGCAATAGTAGACTATGGTCAAACGCCTTGCAGCGATGACAGTGTACCGGTTCCAATATGACCTCGATATTATGCTGTTAACCCGGGGATTTAACTAGCAATATCCTCTTATTGGTTAATGGATCCTGTGTGAGCTCGAACTTACCAGAAGTCACGCCTCAGCCCCAGATGTTCAAGTAAATACGCAAAGTCAAGTCCGTACACGAAGTCCAGTGAGTCCGAGTTATATAGTCAAGTTTGTTTAAGAAGTCCAGGAAGTCCAGTCAGTCCATTCAGTCCAGTCGCCCCATGATGTCAAAGAAGTTCGTGCATGTTATTTAAATACAAAAAAAAAAACACCAGACACACAATTCTGTACTTGTGTCAGAATTGTTTTTACATATTGTTAAACTGTCAACACTTTTCGCAATGGTTGCCGAGATTGTAGTAATGGATGGATAAATGAAGGCTAGCTGGCAACTGTTTTTTATAGTCGTCAGTTGCTGCCAGTGTTCCATTGGGAACAGTGCAGAAAAAAATGGCATGACCTGCCGTCGGCCACCTAAACACTTAACACAAAATTATCACAATTTAAACATTATTTATACGAACACACGTCAAATTCTATTCCACAAAGTAAAAAAATATGATGGAGGGTTTACGCACTTCCATAGATATTTAAAACCTCGATCGCAACATATGAAAAATTAACCGCCAAGAACTGATCTGCCTCACTTTTAGTTCTTTATAATGTGGCAACTTCTCCCTAGCCCACAAAACGCCACCTTGTGGAAAATGTGGTCAGATTAAATGTGGTCACCTTAAATTGTGGTCTCGCTAACCCTGCCAACCTGTTTCTTTTGTACGGCAATGTGGCCCTTTAATTTTACTATCGATATGTACCCAAATACAACAATGAACGCAACTGACAGAGAGTTTCGTGTGGCACATACCATATCGGAAATTGCAGAGGTGGAACGTTCAGCCATATTCCAAATTTGCTGTGATTAAAGTAATGGATAAATAAAGTAGAATAATAGGCGACTATTTTACGTTGTCATCAGTTTCAATGCTCACCTCAATCTCAATTCAACTGCGGGGTGACACCCTGTGTTATGAGAATGATATTAAAGTTTACTTGTAGAATGTGAATTGCTGATTTTTATTCAACATTTATTGCTTGAACAGTACAAAACCACTACGGAAGCGTGGAAAATAAATGTTGATATGAGAACCGGCAAATTACCCATATAATGTTCGAAAGCCTACGTATATTAGTTATACTTTTAATTCTTTAATACTTTTATAAAATGCGTAACAAAAGTTTTTATAACACAAAGCAAAGTTATTTTGTATTGTAATTTTTTGTCGATATGTGTAATTCTTGTAATTCTTGTCTGCTTGCTAGCGTCTGGCTTAAAGTTATAGTTTTATTAAAAAATTTAATAGAAATGTGATATGGAAATTCTTGTAACCTTTGACAAAACTTTCTAAAATCTCTGAATTCTTCAGCGTGTCTCGAAATGTCTTATTTATAACAAAAGTTTATTATAAAATGTAAGTAGTATAATTAAATACACTTTTGTGTATAATGTGTGCAAATGTGTTAATATTGAATTGAACGTTCCTTTAAATTTAGTTAGGGGCGATTTTACAACATTCATTCAAATGTAAGTGCTTAAAATTGACTTTCTTCATGGGGTGTTGTTTAAGCCTTCCTAGTTCCTTGTTTTTGCAGCAGTGGTGGGACCTGGTCAATTAGAATTTAGGTGTAGGTCATTTTACTGGTGACGCTGCTGATTATTTTTGTGTTGGCGTGGCTATTCTTGTCGTTGTTTTTGTCATTTTGATGCGTTCTCCTCTTGTTTTTGTCTATGAAAACGGAAATTTTGGTTTGGTTGTACTTGGCGCTGTTGAGCTTCCCATTGGCGGCTTTTATATTTGAGTATCTGGTTTGTTGTATTTGCTGCTGCTCATGATTCTGTTGTTGATGGTTTATGATTGAAGCTGTTACTGCTGCTGCTGCCGCTGTTCTTGCTGCTGCTGATGTTGTTTCTGCTGTTGCTGCTGCTGTGTGTTTCTTTTTGACTGGCGTACTGTGGTATTGATATTTACTATTTGATTCAAGCTGCTGCAACCTTTGTAATTTGAAACATGATGAATTGATATATTATATGACCTCGATATTGTGCTGGTTACCCGGGGATTTAAGTAGCAATATCCTCTTATTGGTTAATGGATCCTGTGTGAGCTCGAACTTACCAGAAGTCACGCCTCAGTCCCAGATGTCCAAGTAAATACGCAAAGTCAAGTCCGTGTACGAAGTCCAGTCAGTCTGAGTTATATAGTCAAGTTTGTTTAAGAAGTCCAGGAAGTCCAGTTAGTCCATTCAGTCCAGTAGCCCCATGATGTCAAAGAAGTTCGGGCATGTTATTTAAATACAAAAAAAAAAAAAACACCAGACACACAATTCTGTACTTTTGTCAGAATTGTTTTTACATATTGTTAAACTGTCAACACTTTTCGCAATGGTTGCCGAGATTGTAGTAATGAATGGATAAATGAGGGCTAGCTGGCAACTGTTTTTTATAGTCGTCAGTTGCTGCCAGTGTTCCATTGGGAACAGTGCAGAAACAAAATGGCATGACCTGCCGTCGGCCACCTAAACACTTAACACAAAATCAGCACAATTTAAACATTATTTATACGAACACACGTCAAGTTCTATTCCACAAAGTAAAAAAAATATGATGGGGGGCTTATGCACTTCCATAGAAATTTAAAACCTCGATCGCAACATATGAAAAATTAACCGCCAGCCCACAAAACGCCACCTTGTGGAAAATGTGGTCACATTAAATGTGGTCACCTTAAATTGTGGTCTCGCTAACCCTGCCAACCTGTTTCTTTTGTACGGCAATGTGGCCCTTTAATTTTACTATCGATATGTACCCAAATACAACAATGAACGCAACTGACAGAGAGTTTCGTGTGGCACATACCATATCGGAAATTGCAGAGGTGGAACGTTCAGCCATATTCCAAATTTGCTGTGATTAAAGTAATGGATAAATAAAGTAGGATAATAGG